AGTTTTTCAATTTACTAAATATTGTGTTGCAATAATTAAACTAATGCCACCATATACAGAGCGTCTAAAAATAATTATTAGCTTTAAACGGCAATAGCTTGTTTAATTCAAATAGAACACCATGTATATTTTACGTGAATCAGATGTATGATGTAATTGTCTATTAAATTTTTTACGCCGTTTTTAGCTATCTCTTTGTGTTTTCGTACAATAATTCGTACAATAATTGAAATTTTATTAATCGATATTTCTCAATATACCCATGAAATCTTGATATTTTAAATAATTTTTAAGGATGTAACAAATTTCCAAAGAGTACAAGGGTACTTAATTCGTTAAAAAATAAAAAAACTATTTAAATATTAGTAAAAGAAGACCAATTAATATGATCCCACTATTGGAACTGCATTAACTGACTACGACTGACACCTTGTATAAGGTAGTTTTATTTTTATTATTGCAATACAAAATTTACTAAATAAAAATACCGTATGATCGAAAAAAACAGCGTCCAATTGGCTGGGAAATGAGAGTCGATGACATTTTCCATATAAATTTACATATACAATTACAGCGATCTTCATTTCACAGCCATCGCTGACGCCGTTTTTTTTCGATTATACGGTACTTCAGTACAATATTTGTTTTTAAAAACCCAAAATACGCATAGGGAAATGTGAAGCATTAAAATATTACTGTATTTTCGTAAAATCGTAAATATTTCAAAAACGGTATGATTAAACTGCCGTAAACATTAATAAAATTTATCTTTGTTTTAATCCTAGAAACTGAAAATGTAATTATATGCAGTGCCTTCCGTTTAAAAAATACATTTTTTCAGTGTTCACTTGTCAAAAAGGGAATTTCCAAAATCTTATATCAAAACCCTAATAAAATTATGGTATCTCTCCATATACAGGGTGGTTCGAACTGTATTCCGGTAACTTCAGCAGCATATTTTGTTCGTATAAATTATGTCCTAAAATGCTTAGTTTCGGAAATACAGGGTGTATAAGTTTCATTTTTATTTCGATTTTTTCCAAATAATTTATGAAGTAACTTCAATATTTGGATGAAAATTGGTGCTTGGGCGTTTTTTGATATGAAAAGTTTTATTTTGATGTTAATATGAGCCCTACTTGTAGAGGGCGCCACCTACATATTTTTTAACTGGTTTGAAGAGTAATAACTCTTCGTCCGTACCTGTATTACTACTGAGTAAAAAAATAAATTTACGAAATTTTCTACGTAAAAAATGTCTCTTCCCAAATTAATTATTTCAGTAAAATAGCCAACTATCTACTCAACGTGTTTATTTTTTGCCAATAATGACATGTATTGACTATTTTCATTCTAAATATCTTGAGAAGGGTTGCTCGGAGCGATTTTTACCAAGAGACATTTTTTACATAAAAAGTCATGGAAATGTATACAGGGTGGCCCATCGAAAACGTTCCGCAAGGCATAACGGCCAGGGTATTCTTTTTTTCAAAAAATCCAAAAACACGTCAATTTTGTTTGTGAGGGCGACAACTTTTGCCCCAAAAATGATTGCGAAATCTTCAACCCTCTGAGCGGGGGTGTCATCCCCCAACATTTTTCAAATGGGAAGGGGGGCCAAGTGGCGCCGCAATGAAAAGAGCTTTCTATTCTCTATATTTCCCCGCCTCGTTTTTGAAAATCGGTCGAGTCATACAGAAAATATGAAGGATTGAAATTTGAAAAGTTTATTTAAACATTTATCAGAGTTAATGATAAGAATAAATTCCTTCGACCAATTTGAGTTTTTTTCTTATTTCTAGATGTTTACGCATTTTTTCACTTGCCACAAGGTTGAATGATCAGGTGCGGTAGTTGCTAGATAGCTGTTCTGTGACTTTGAACTCTGACAACTGTGCCAAAGTTTACAGAATAAAATATAAGTTCCGTCACTTGTGCCGGCGGCAGGTATCAAAAGCCGCTTCACGCACGTGTTTCCCAGTGTATTACTGGTGTGTGGACTTTGGACCCAGCATACACGGCGGATCACGTTCGGCGTATTACTCTGATTTTGGCGTTATTACAGAGTGGTCTCGCATGCATATGGAATAATTTTTCAAGTGGTTATTTAATTTTCATTGCAAAGTGTTACTGGTCACATTAGCCTTAGTTAATTATTTATTAGTTTATCATAAAAAAGCATAATTATTTTTATTATTTCTTAAAAAAAATATTTAATTTTTTGGCAATGGAAAAAAAAATTATTTAAAATATCTAATTAGAATTATTCAAGAACACTTTATTTTTTACACGAAAAATCTCTCAAAAGTGGCTTATCCCTGGTGTGTCTCAAAAGTGGCTTATCCCTAAAACTTTTTTATTTTTTCTGATAAAAAAACGAGATTTGTTAGTATATGACCTAAATTAGGATTGATTAACGTTTTCAATTTTTTTCGGTCACTTCCGGTTTCGCCGAAAATTACTACAACTTTTGAATTTTAAACTGCAACCTGGGCATTTTTCTACTTTATTCGATAAAAAATGACACTCTGAATAGAATGACATATCATATGTCAACTTTTGGCATTCTAGCTTAAAAAAATCTTTTAAAATTTCAATATTGAGTGTCATAGCTCTTTTAAAAACAAAACTTTAATCAAGGAGTCCTGGGAAAAATAGATTTGATCGTCTAATGGTTTCCATGTCTTGTCTTGGCCGGTTAAAAGATGTCCAAATGGTATTTTTAACCATATCTTAATTTTTTCTAATGGAAAGAGGGTGGCTCATTAGTATATTTGGAAAAAGTATTTTTTTACGAATAATTTCATGCCACACACTTGGTATTTCGAGTCAAATTGTCGTTATAAACCGCGTGTTACACTTTCAAATAAATCATATGTGAAACTGTTAAAAGCTGACATATGATATGTCTTTCTACTCAGAGTATCATTTTCTATCGAATAACGTAAAAAAATACCGAGGATACCATTTAAACATCAAAAGTTGTTGATATTTAATAGTTTCAGCTTTGAATTTTATAGTGTACGTAATTCGTGTTGGAAAACCATATTACGCACTCATGGAATACTGCACTCGTGCGTAATAATATGTTTTCCAAAACACTCGTTACGTAATATACTTTTACATTATTTACTGTTGATAATGTGTAGCTTTATTTTTTGTGTTTGTTTTTAAAATTTATTTTATTTTTGCTATATCTTTTTTTATCTTGCCTTGTCTAAATATTTATATGTAATACACCAATAAACTGATAGTATATTTTTCTTTTGTAGATTTACTATTAGGTATTTTGAAATACCCCACGTTCCCCTGCACCTTGTCGCACATTGCGATCGGTAAAAATGCGGCTTCTATTTACCCCGGCTTCCACTCCTGTTTTCATCGAAATCTGGCGTATCGGACGAGGCGGCTTCTGGCTTTTGATACGCGATTTTCAAAGTGCCGATGCTAAGTGACCGAACTTATATTTTATTCTGTAAACTTTGACTGTGCGTTGAAGTTCTTCTCAATATCGTTAAACTGACCTACAATAGAATTTCCAAAAATACCAGTCCACACGTTCAATTTCTGAGGGTTTTGTGTGTGCACCTCGTCAAAAACCCTGTGATTGTCCTCAGCCCAGTACCGACAGTTGTGCCGATTCACTACATCGTTCAAAAAGAAAGTACAGTTGTCCGAAAAACACACATTAAATAGGAAATTATTATCATTCGCCACTCGTTCACTCATAATTTCACAAAATTGTAAGCGACGATCAAAATTGTCTTCGTTGAGTTCTTGTACCAACTGAATTTTGTACGGGTGGAACTTGCGTTTTTTTAATATCCTTTGGACACTTGTACGATTCTCGCCGGACTCATTGGCTAATTTTCTTGTACTCAGCGTACTTCCATAGCTTCATTTACTACAGGATTTTCCCTCTGCCTCTTTTTATTCATAACGGAACCAGTTTCGCGAAATTTTGCTACTAACTCGCGAACAATTTTGCCATAAAGGTGTTTGTCAGGATGGCGTTCATTGAATATCTGCGCAACCCGATTGCCACATTCATTATTTTTAAAATAAAGTTCGATAATAATAATTGTTCCATAATAATTGTTAAAAAGTTTAACGATATTGAGAAGAACTTCAACGCATAAGTCACAGAACAGCTATCTAGCAACTACCGCACCTGATCGTTCAACCTTGTGGCAAGTGAAAAAATGCGTAAACATCTAGAAATAATAAGGAGAAACAGCAAATTGGTCGAAGGAATTTACCCTTATCATTTACTCTGATAAATGTTTAAATAAACTTTTCAAATTTCAATGACTCGACCGATTTTTAAAAACGAAGTCGGAAAGTATAGAGAAGAGAAAGCCCTTTTCATTGCGGTACGACTTGACCCCCCTTTCCATTTGAAAAAAGTTGCGGGATGACACCCCCGCTCAGAGGGTTGAACATTTTGCAATCGTTTTTGTGGCAAAAGTTGTCCCCCTCACAAACAAAATTGACGTGTTTTTGGATTTTTTGAAAAAAAGAATACCCTGGCCGTTATGCCTTGCCACTTCGATGGGCCACCCTGTATTTTTTCACTCCATAGTTTTATACAGGTACGGACGAAAAGTTATTACTCTTCAAAACAGTTAAACCTTTGGTTAAAATACCTGTAGATGGCGCGCTCCACAAATAGGAGTTATATTGACATCAAAATCAAATTTCTCACGTCAAAAAACTCCCAAACACCAATTTTAATCCAAATATTGACGTTACTTCAGAAATTATTAGGAAAAAATCGTAATAAAAGTTAAATTTCTACACCCTGTATCTCCGAAACTAAGCGTTTTAGGACATATATTTATACAAACTTTTTTACTTATTTTTATCTGCAGGATATGCTGTCGAAGTTTCCGGAATAAAGTTTGGGCCACCCTGCAGAATGATTGTTTTAATTTTTTAGCCAAAGGTCCATTATTATCAAGTTTTAATGAATAATTAAATTAACATTATTTTCGACTTACCTCTATATAAGGAAAACAACTGGATGAAGAGCAGAGCAAATCTGATATCCGACGTGGAAAGCATGTCGGTAAATCTTCCAGGACACTTTGCCGAGATCCGGAGAGCCTGGAAAAAAGGGAAAACTTCGTTAAAACTTTTCTGACCTAAACAAATACAGAATCCTGTTTATCCCGGACAAAAGAAATGGAGTTGGACGGGTCTGGATTTTGAATGGAATATTAAGGCGATCCCCCTTGGTTCTTTTTTTCTGTGAAAGGAATATAAAAAAATATATTATATTTTAGAGGGATAGGGTGCGCAAATATTGAATATTACATTAACATATATTTCGGTTTAAAATATTTTCTTTTATATGTGAAGGAAATATATGTAGGTATAAAGTCGTTCAATTTTATTTGGGCAGAAAGAGGTTATGTAAATCAAACGCTAAATTTGTAAATACCATGCGATCGAAAAAAAACTATGATAATTTTGGGGAGGTCAAACTCTACGGGGCATTTATTTGGCCCATACTATATTTTTTAATGACGCTTACTCCCATTTGACCTTGAGAAGGTTGTAATTATTTTTCTATTGAGTAAATATTATTTATATATCGTGTACCAAAAAATACCCAGACACTCGATTTTCATCCAAATGTTGACGATAGTACAGAAATTATTTGAAAAAAAAAACGAAATAAAAATAAAACTTAAAATTAAAACAAACAAATTAAACTACACCATACATCTCCGAAACGAATGCTAGGACAGAATTTCTATCTTTTTTACACAGTTTGCTGATTACAATTCGGACCACTCTGTACAGGGTAGCGCCTCCCATACGACGCACTGTGGTCAATTTTGTCAAATTAGCCGGAAAAAAATATTAGTGAAAATTACTTAACTTTGATTAATAACTATATCCGATTTTATATGTTAGGTATCATAAAATTACATTAATAATATAATTAATAAGAACAGGTCGTATACAGGGTGTATAATAATTAAAAACTTGGAAAAGTTTCGTTATTTTTTATTTTAAATAGATTTTGGTCGCGATCATTTGCATATGTTAGATTAGAAAAATTATCATTTTATAAGAATAGTAAAGTTACCTAATGGTTTAACTATCAACTTAACTTTATTTAAAACTGAAACCTCATAAGACTTTTTTCTGCTAGTTCATTAAAAAAATGTATATTCTAATAATTTAAAAAAAAATCTAACGATATCAAAATTATTTACTCATATTTAATACTCAACAGAAGAACATTAATGTCAAAAAACTTACCAACAGCAATTGCTCTTTCCATTTTAGATAGTATTAATAACATATAACTTTTTGCACGGAATACGCAAATTATGAACTTTATTCATGTGCAAATAACAAGATTATTTAGTTTAATTTGTCAACTATACTACATTTTCAATCAAAATAACAGTAAATTCGCAACGACCTTTGACATATTTGTTAACGAAATGTTCTTAGCAACTATTTCAAAGTCTACTTATGGAGTTTTTGACGCCGCTTAGCTTCATCAGATTTTTTAATATTTTCCTGTTAATTTTTAAAAATTGACCACAGTGCGACATGGAGACTCCAACGAGAACGGTAGTTTATATCGAAATGAAACTTTGGGAGCATTTTATAAAATAAGTTTCTTCTTAAGTTTTATTTCTATAAGTTATACAGGGAGTCTCCAAAAAAAGTTAAACATCAAAGTTGTGTTTTTTGTAATGTAACACCCTATATATTAATTGATTTTCGGATTCTAAGACAAAAATAAAGGTGACATTTATAAAAAAAAGCATATGCCTAAAATGTAAGGAATTTGACATATGTCACATTTTATAAAAACGAAGAGTAAATTTTATATTACGATAACACCTACCTAAATGGTAATTTACCCTGTATAACCTAATATTTCATTACAATAACCGTTGTTTGTTTACCCAAATTAAAATTAGACCCGAAATATTATACAGGGTGAGACAAAATTAATGTGGAACAATGGTCACTTTTAAAAGCATGTTACTCCTTTATTTTAAATGGAACACCCAGTATATGTATCTTTAAAATATTATTAAGGTTGCCTACTCGTCAGGTAAATAAATGCAACGTATGTGGAGTTCTACTTTTAAAAGCAGCTACAATCATTTCTTTCATGTTGATGACAATATTGGGTCGAATTTTGCAAACACTCTCATTAACATATTTCCATAAAAAGCCCAGACTAGATAAAATCAGGAACATTTAAGTATTCTATTAATTAGTGAATGCAGTGTGCTAACTAATAAAATCATATCAATTCTTTCTGATGTAGGATAGGTTTCCATTTTCCGCAAATTTCTGAGAATCTTTTTGTTTTAATTGACACAAAATAATAACTAGTTGTTAAAGTTGGACTAAATTAGAGAGCTATGTTGAAGTAACGACGACATATCACAGCCACCTATATTTTATCAAATAATAAACATCTACTGACACTAAATCATAAAAATGAAAATATCTAGGAAAATCTTTCGAGGGATAGGTAACATTAATAGTATTCTGAAGAAACGTGAATTCCCTATTGAATATCGGAATAATATACTAGGTGTTCCATTTAAAATAAAAGAGTAACTTGCACCAAAACTTGCTTTTAAAGGTGACCAATGTTCAATATTAATTTTGTCTTACCCTGTATAACTTTTTGGGTCAAGTTTTAATTTGATTTAAATTACAATAGTTATTTTACCTACATATTAGACTATACTGGGTAAATTCCAACTAATTTAGGTAACTTTTATTGAAATTTAAAAATTGTTTTTAATTTTTAGAAAATGTTTGGTTTGAAAATATTATGTCAAAGCCTTACATTTTAGTCATGTACTTCTTTAATAAAACTCACCTTTATTTTATCTCCTAGAATCCGAACCAAATCAATTAATATATTGTGTGGTGTTCCGATACAAAAAACACAACTTTGATATGAAACTTTTATGGGGGATACCCTGTAGAACTCTCTATATTTTTAAAAAGCGCTATGAATTAACCTACACATAGTCACAAAGTTTCATTTTAATACAAACTGTGGTTCTCCCTGGAGCCTCGGCGTCGTATGAGAGGCGCCACCCTGTATATCGACTTATTAATTATATCGATTTAAGGTTGCCATCCCTAACAATCGCAATTAGCTTCTCTCGATTTTCTACTAAAACGAAAATTTTTCTTGACGTTATGAACTAGAGCTCTATACAAGTAGAAAAGTGGGACGGGAGTCGTCTCTTTCAACGAACTGAATTATATCCTATCGATATCGTAAATTGGCCCTCTATTGTCGACTTAAACTGCCTTCCAATCAGACTAACGAAATAAATACACATCAATTTACGTTCGTCGGAACGATAATTCACTAGAAGGCTTAGAGGAGAAAAGCAAAAATATAAAAATCCCTTTTCTCTATGGTCTAGAAAAATATAAAGATCCCGTTTCTCTATAGTTTAGAAATATAAAAATCCCTATTCTCTATGGCTCGGTTAGGGGATAAAGCCATTCTAGGTTATTAAAAACATGTCTGTTTAATATTCTATATTCGATGTTTTTGTTTTAAATAATATTATTTTGTAACCATAAAGTCCTTATGTAAAAAATAGAAACTACTATCTACAGGGTGGTTCAAACTGTATTCCGGAAACTTCGGCAGCATATTCTGCAGATAAAGATAAGTAAAAAAGTTCGTATAAATGTATGTTCTAAAATGCTTAGTTTCGGAAATACAGGGTGTCGAAATATCACTTTTATTTCGATTTTTCCAAATACTTTTTGAATTAACGTCAATATTTGAATTGAAATTATCAATACCTGTTATTATTGAGATAAATTAAGCATGTTGACTAAATAGTTATCAGACTGAAATCATAAATTTGAAATATTTTTGTGCCAAAAGTTCAACAGAAACTGTTTTATCATCATTTTTCGAAGAAAACATTATGATTAATAATTATTAATTTACAAAAACAACATTCTATTATACAGGGTGAGTTTCCTACGATGTTCTCTATGGGTATCTCGGAAACTACTGGAGATAGAGAGTCGGTTAAATGGGGAAAGAATTGCAGTTTTGTGGGGTCATAAATATACGCCTTTCAGATTTTTCAAAAAGTTCATGGCTTACTAGATATTTGGAAAAAAACAAATTTTGGCTATTTTAAAAATTGTCCCTAATTCCATTACAATCTATTTTAGACAAAAGGTTTTCAGATAAAAGTTGTAGATAATCACATCCCTAATGAGACTGTGTTCTCCAATTTTTTCTAAAGCCTGTCATTTTTCGCATATGACACAAACATATGTTTTTTTAAATGGAAACCATAGTTGGCCATGACTTCATAAAAAGCGCCATTTTTTAAGCTGTTCAGCGATATAAGCTATAATATGTTTCTTTCACAAAATTACTGAGTTATAGCTAATTCTTATCTTTCTTGACTAATTTCACTTAGTTAGCCATGGAAACAAAAGCTCAATCGTCGTTGCTCTCAGAAATATGAAATTGTCACATTCAATCTTTGTAAATTAAAATAAACAGAAATTGTAAATAAGAGTTTTTCAAATGAAGAAAAGCGTGTAGGATGTAGGATTATTGGTTCAACTTTTCTTGGCCATACAGTTTCGAAGATACGTTGACCGTTGACCGTTGACCGTTGACCGGTGAACACTTACGTTTTTTAGAGAAAGGTTTTCAAGACATGCTAGAAAAGTTAAATTTAGATACTCGCGCATTAAGAGTGTTTTCAACATGACTTTCATTATGATACACCAAACCCCCCCACAATGAAAGAAATGTTAAAAATTATTTATGAATTGAGAGAGGCACTCGAAGAAGTGGAACAGGAGAAGTTTAATTAAGTCAACCGGTCGTTCTGTGAGAATAGCTAAAAATTCAGCTTTAAAAAGATGCATTTATGTACTCAAAACAATTGCGGATTTTTTGAAAATTTTCTAAAATAGATAACTTATAGTAATATTATTTTTTTAAGTTTTAGTTTGTGTAATGCAAATTGTAAAGAGCCGTTTAATAATATATTTTATCTTTTTATAAGTAATAAATCATAACAAAATTAGAACATCATTGAAAACCGTTCTCTAAAAAACGTAAGTAACTGTCACCGGTCAACGTATCCTCGAAACTGTATAGCCAAGAAAAGTTGAACAAATAATCCTAGACGCTTTCCTTCATTCGAAATTTTATTTACATTTTTTGTTTATTTTAATTTACAAAGATTGGATGTGACAATTTCACATTTCTGAGAGCAACACAATTGAACTTGTTTCCATGGCTAACCAAGTGAAATTAGTCAAGAAAGATAAGAATTGGCTATAACTCAGTAATTTTGTGAAAGAAACATATTATAGCTTATATCACTGAAAAGCTTAAAAAATGGCGCTTTTTATGAAGTCATGGCCAACTATGGGTTCCATTAAAAAAAACATATGTTTGTGTAATAAGTCAACAATGACAGGCTTTAGAAAAAATCGGAGAACACAAACTCATTAGGAATGTGATTATCTACAACTTTTATCTGAACACTTTTTGTCTAAAATAGAGTATAATGGAATTAGGGAATTTTTAAAATAGCCGAAACTTGTTTTTTTCGAAATATCTAGTAAGCCATGAACTTTTTCAAAAATCTGAAAGGCGCATATTTATGACCCCACAAAACTGCAATTCTTTCCCCATTTAACCGACTCTCTATCTCCAGTAGTTTCCGAGATCCCCATAGAGAACATCGTAGGAAACTCACCCTGTAGATACGGGACAACACCGGTATCAGGTCTAAGGGGAGACCAAGTTAAAGAGGTGGAGAAAATGGAGATAGATCCTGCAGCCTCCACCTCACGAGTTCCTCAGCCGGAGGCAAGCTCCTCGACTGTAAAGAGCGGCACGGAGGGTCAAACTCCAACCGTGGCAGGGTGTGTACCCTCGGAGGAAGAACTGTTGTCAGAGGAGGATGGGAAATACTATGTCCCCTCTAGAACAGGGGTATGATGGGTTATAGATCGTGTGATGACTCAAGGAAGGGGGGCACAATAGATCTTTATAAGGTCGCAGTGATTAATTAACATCAGGTCTCCTCTGCCTAGGTGCCAGCGCCGCATTTATTTCTCTGTCATTATAGCCATTGGCAAGAAAGGCTTTATTTAAATGGCTTAGTTCTTCTTGGATGTGTTCCTTAGCACAAATGCGTCTTGCCCTATTTGCTAATGTTTCGATAATCCCCTGTTTTTGGCTTGGATGGTGATTTGACAGTTTGTGCAAGTACCGGTCTGTATGAGTGGGTTTTCGATACACTGTGTGATCCAGATGGTCGCCATTTCTCTTGACAAGCACATCGAGGAAGGCCAGTTGGTTGTTTACTTCGGTTTCCATGGTAAATTTTATGCACGGGCTCTGCGAATTAAGGTGATGAAGGAAGTCATCTAGGTCACGTCCATGTTTTCAAACAACAAATGTATCGTCCACATAAGGAAACCATACAGCGGGCTTCAAAACGGATGACTCTTTATTAAACTTTAAGCATTTTTTTAAGGATGAAAATTATAATAAATCGAAAAAAATGAAGACTTTAACACCATGTAGCTACGAAACGAAACAGAATTATATTGATATGAAAAATAAATCTTATGTTTACGTGAGGTATCACCCCAAGGAGATGGCACATGTTTTTGAAAACACCCTGTAGTTACCGGAGTCCCCTAGAAGCCAAACTGCTTCTGGAAAAATGATAGACTTGGCACAATTTAGTAATACAGAAATTTACAAAAATATTTCAGTTCCTTTCATATGTAGGCTAGTTCTCCAGACTAGAATGGAAACAAAGAAACAAACAAAATAAAAGCACAAAAAATGTCTACGCTCTCTGTCATATCGATGTGTCCTCGAATCTTAATACTCCTGAATCTGAGAGATAAATATGAGCCGCTTCGTTATCAAAAGTATCTCCTCCCAAGAAAAAGCATGCCATAATCTCCTGATTATATTATCAAGCGTTGTTCGTAAAAAGGGTACGGGAGGAGTGGTCTCTGGATAAATGACTCCCCTCCTTAAGATTAGCTTCTTTCCATCTAAGCGCCACTACATCCGATGTTTTATTCAACGTCTGTAATTATTCAAAATTTGATTGTTTCATTTTCTTAAGAGTAGGAGAATGGACGTCGTAAAGATGATAAGTAAGGAGAGTCGGTTACTTTTGGGGAATAATAAATATTTTAGTGGGGAGGGTTTGACTCACAAAGTGCTTTAATCAAGATAATCAAGTCTAAAGTCCAATATCGTTGTTGTTGATGAAGGTATAGAAAGAAGTCTTATACGGGGTGAGTTTTCTGCGATGTTCTCTATGGGTATTTCTGAAACTACTGGAGATAGAGAGTCGGCTAAAAGGGGAAAAATTACTGAGTTATTCTACTTCTGAGCCAATTCTTATCTTTCTTGACTAATTTCACTTAATTAGCCATGGAAACAAGTTCAATCGTCGTTGCTCTCAGAAATGTGAACCTGTCATATCCAAACTTTGTTAATTAAAATAAACAAAAATTGTAAATATGAATTTTTGAATGGGTTTAACTTTTCCTGGCCATACAGTTTCAAGGATACGTTAACCGGTGAACGTTACTTACGTTTTTTGACCCCCCCCCCCATAATGAAAGAAATGTTAAAAATTATTTATATCATAATTATGCAGATTCGGGGATATAGGAAGAATAAAACACTAAATTACCACAATACACCAAAACACATTTACTTTTACACTGGACACGCGTTTCGCTAACCATGTTAGCATCATCAGCAGATGATCAAGACTGACTTTAGTCTCGATTCCAAAATAAAACACTACATCACCATAATACACCAAAACAATTTTACTTTTATACTGGACGCGCGTTTCGCTAACCATGTTAGCATCATCAGCAGATGATCATGACTAAAGTCAGTCTTGATCATCGTTTAGTTAGCGAATGGGTTAGCGAAACGCGCGTCCAGTGTAAAAGGAAAAGTGTTTTGGTGTATTGTGGTGATTTAGTGTTTTATTTTGCTGTGTAACACCAAAGATTCCAACCCCCAACTGTAATGATATAGGAAGAGATGGACCAATTGCAAGGGCCTCCTCGATCACCTGACCTATCCATTTCAGATTTTTTTATACGGTATGGTTAACAGCAACATTTACAAAAGAACTTATGAATTAAGAGAGGCACTCGAAGAAGCGGCACGGGAAAAGTTTAATTTAGTCGACCGGTCGTTCTGTGAAAATAGCTAGTAATTCAGTTTTAAAAAGATGCATTTATGTACTCAAAATACTCGTAATGGCGGATTTTTTAAACATTTTCTAAAATAACTTAGTGTATGTAGTGATATTATCTTTTTAAGTCTTAGTTTGTGTAATGTAAATTGCAAACAACCGTTTAATAATATATTCTGTCTTTTTCTAAGTTATAAACCATAACAAAATAAGAACACCATGCCAACTAAGTGAAATTAGTCAAAAAAGATAAGAATTGTCTATAACTCAGTAATTTTTCGAAAAAAAATATTAGGTATAGCTTATATCGCTGAAAAACTTAAAAAATGGCGCTTTTTATGAAGTCGTGGCCAACTCCTTCCTCGAGTTGATGACTCGCCAACTCGATGTCCTTACATTGATGTTCTGACCTTGGATAAGGCTCAGCAGGTAAGTGGTGTCTTTCCGGGTGCCCTTTTAGGGATGTTTTCTCCCTATACTGCAACCAGTTCCGGCCCTTGCCAATGTTTAAGCTTAGGTGCGATTTCCACCAACCAATTCGCCGATTCTTGCGCTACTTGAGCCGAACAATCTATGAAGATCATGCCCACCCGAAAGTGTATCCCCGCAAAACGCAGCTGACCCACATTTTGTAGATCGTTGTGTTCCGATCCGATAGCCACTACTTGGTCCAGTATAGCCTCTTCTAGAGACGTTTGCTGGTCGGTGATCAAAGCAACCTCTGGGAAATCCTTTGGCAGCACCGCCATTTTTGCTTGTCCAGCAATAGCGGCAAAGCTGGTGATACGTCCCTGCTTGCCTCCCGGTGTTGGACGGCTTTCCATCCTGGCTTTTTGCTCTCCCTGCCGGAGATTACGGATGTGGTTATTTACAACTTTTATCTGAAAACTTTTTGTCTAAAATAGATTATGGAATTAGGGACAATTTTTAAAACAGCCAAAATTTAATTTTTTTTCAAAATATATCTAGTAAGCCATGAATCCCAATAATAATGAATTTCCCAATATTTCTGAGCACTCGAGTAGAACGGTAGAATTTATCCGCTTGTAATGTTGATGCAAATAATCTGTTTTGTGTCATTATACTCAGAACATTTAATAGAATAGGACATAATTTATATAGAAATTAAATAATTGCAAATTTGATGATTATAAAGGTAAGACCTTTGCTCCACAATGAAATACAAACACCGCCATCCTAAAATAACAAAAACTGACTCGTTTACTAAAACAATTGCTCACTTACTTAATTTCGTTTGCCGCAATACCTCTGACCGTAACGAATATAATAAACATGGGGTTGGTCAGCAATTAATTTAATTTTATTACGTATTTCCGTATTTTCTTAGGCGCCAAATTTATTTTTAATGTTTTCGGGAGCCATTGTTACCTAATTAAATTGAGAGATGCATTGCAGTAATTTTGCAAAAACGAAGAGCAGCTCTTTCAGTAGCTGTCTTTTTCTAAAGCTCGTGTACACATAACGCTTAACCTGTCAGTTTTACGTTCAGTTCAGTGAATGTTTTACTTGAACTGACTTATGAAGGAAGACCCTCTAGAGAAATCACGAGATTATTCTGTTTTGCAACAAAACTGTCCTTTTACCTACATTAAAAAAATATATGTAAATTTACAAAAAATAATAACATAAATTCTTAGGGCTTGTTGTAGACAATTCTCTGAAATAGGGCATGCATATCGACGCTCTGTCGAAAAAATTAAGGTCTGCCTGTTTTGCATTAAGATCTGTTTCTAAGGAGCTTAACTCGTCAGTGACTAGAACCAAAGAATATTATAAGTTAGAATGATCTTTGCTATAGAACTGTTTATTATACACTTTTTGAGTCGCACCTCAGATATGCCATTCCATTCTGGGGTACGTGTTGTGCGACTCAATTTGATCGCATTTTCAAGCTCCAGAAGAGAGCTGTTCGATATTCACTGGGACTAAAGAGCAGAACTCATTGCCAGGACTTCTTTAAAAAATTAAAAATATTAACTCTTCCTTCCTTATTTATATTTGAATCCGTTTGCCTAATATGTAAGCATGTATTAGCTTCTCAAGAAAGACCATCTCACACTTATCCACGCAGAAACGCGGAGCAAGATCTTTATCTACCTACCCCACGCTCAGAGTTAGTTAAAAATTCAATATTATACAAGTCGAAAAAAATGCACCTGCCATTTAAAATAAAATCCATAATATAATTTTCTTCATTTCGCAAAGCATACAAATCTTATTTACTAGACAAGGCTTTCTACGCCGTAAATGACGTATATTTTGATAATCGAATTAAATAAAAAACACTGGTCTAATGTTTGCTATTACTATAATTTACCAATGACATCGAAATAAATTTATTTAGAGGTCATGGATATTTACTATAAACTTAGTAAATATTTTTGAATCTTATTTTTATTTTTTTATTTTTTGGCATTGTAAACATTTATAAATGTTTATTGTAAATGTGTTTAATGTAAAATGCTTTACATGATACTAAAATCATTAGACTATCAAATATATATTTCCAATGCTCCTTGATTAAAAATTAGTGTTTTTAACACATCCATTAGAGTCTAAATTGAAATTTAAAATACGATTTTTTTAAGCGAAAATGTCAAAATTTGACAAATGATATGTCATTCTATTCAGAGTGTCATTTTTTCATTCGAATAAGTTAAAAAAATACAGAGGGTGTCATTTAAAAATCCAAAGTTGTAGTTTTTTTTAATGTGACACAGGAAGTGACCGAAAATAATTGAGGCGTCAAGTTGCAAAACCCGCTTTATCTATTAAAAAAATTTGGTATAGTGACATAATATATTAATAGTTTGCCCTGAAATCTATACAGGGTGAGTCTTAAATAGGTGCAAATATTTCCAGGGCTGGTAGATTTCGATAAAATTAACATATTTTCCGATTTGTCAAAGAAATCCAAAATAATCGAGATATTTTACATTGAAAATTCCCAAAAAATTGATTCTTCGCTCAAATTTTGAGAACCGCTGGCTGGATCTTTTCTGGGTCTTCTTTCTTGTTAATTTAACCGACTACCTATGTTGCCATATTATGAATAAATTATGATTTTTAACTAAAAACTAAAAAAAAATCCCAAAAAATGTTCAAAAAA